GGAATAATTGATCTGGAATGATCTGGCTTTGAGTTTTAGTTATATTAGGTCTTCTCCCGTCCGAGTTCAGATTCATTTTTTCCACAGTGAGCCCACCATAATAATCTCAAGGTTAGAACAGTACACTGAGATCTTTGAGTAAGGTAAAGGTAAAGGTTCCCCCTCAAACATACGTGCTAGTCATTTCCGGTTCTAGGGGGTGGTGCTCATTTCCGTTTCAAAGCTGAAGAGCCAGCGCTGTCCGAAGACGTCTCCATGGTCATGTGGCCGGCATGACTAAACGCCAAAGGCACATGGAACGCTAATACCTTCCCACCAAAGGTGGTCCCTATTTTTCTACTTTTAAACTGCTAGGTTGGCAGAAGCTGGGAGAAGTAACGGGAGCTCACTCCCTTACGCAGTGCTAGGGATTCGAACCGCCAAACTGCTGACATTTCTGCTCGACAAGGTCTTAGCTACTGAGCCACCGCATTCTTTACAAGATCTCTGAAACAGCCCTCAAAGAGACTGGATACAGCCATTGGACTAAAGTGTGGCAATACAGATGATGAAGAGGCCTTCAAGAGATATTATAGTAGTGACCCACAATCTTTTGAGCACCAGAGACCAGTTCCGTGGAGGTAGATTTTTCTGCACACTGGAGGGGGCATCATTTTGCATTATTCTTGCATCCCATAGACGTGGCTTCACTTGTTTGCACGGCCCGGTTTTCTGGCATGGTGCAGCTCAGTGCCAGTCCCTGGACCACAGTGTGGAAACCCCTCTTTTATAGTACTGCTGTACTGAACTGGCAGATGAATCTCATTTAACCTTCCCCAACATATTTTTAGTTAGGATCACGCTTTAAGGTACTGTAAGCTCAATTAAGCTTCAGCCCTGAATTCCTAATATTGACTAAATACTTAAAATTTAAGTTCTCAGTGATACTTACCCAGAAATGAGCTAGAATGTTGACATCATATATTTTTTGTATTTGCTTATCCTGGGTAGAAAGTAGATCTGCTGTTGTTGCCACACCGGCATTATTCACTAAAATAGTAATATCTCCAACATCTTTTTTTACCTTTAAAGTTAAGAAACAGAAATTATTAAACTTTGCACGGGTTAAATTTGGTTTTCTTCTCTTTTGTTGTTGTGCTGCCATATAGATCTTGCACAGACTGAAAGGCACGGTAAAGACTGAATATTTTAAAAGACAAAAAAAATGCAACCTTTACAAGATCAGGCTTGGCATTCTACAGATGTGCTATAATTCAGTATGTCGGCACTAGAATTTGGGGAGCTGAAGCCTTGACACATCTGGATAGCCATGTCAGGCTGATTTAGAGGCAAGTGACATAATCAGCCCATACGTACAATGATCATATGAAGAAATTATTTGTGATGACCTGGGGTGTGGCACGAAGGCAAGTTAATCAATAGGAGTCCCTTTATTAGCTCCAACTTTTCCCCCAAAGTCCTGGTTACCTTCTGGCTGGAGAAAAACTCTCCCAGGAACAGCCTTTGGCTGCAGAGAATCAAGTATAAAACATGGTCAACAAAAACTGCAACTATAAGTCCTATCAAGGCAAAATGAGGTAATTAGTTCGGCAGGGCAAGAGAAGGAATTCCAGATGTGAAGGATTGGCATTAACTCAACCTGGTTGGGAGGATGCCAGATAAGCAGATAAACAAAGTCAACACAAGATAAACTCAGGTTTGTTCCCAGAAGACGCCACACTCAGCATGCATCTCTTTTAAACTCTAATTCCCCGGTGTGGCTAATGAAGGGAATCAGGGCCCTTTCCTCCCCCGTAAGCCACGCAACCCATGTTGCTCACTTCTCCGTTCCTCCCTGAGAGCCCTAGGATGAACAGGGGGTGGGCCTGGGTCTTCCTCTGAATTCCCTCTCCCTTGTTCTACCTCTTCCCTGCTCTGCCCAACTGGACTTTGCCCTTCCCCAGTTTCCTCCATGGAGCCAATAGCCAACGGAGCCACACTCCCACTCCCTGTCAGCTGTTCATCTTCCTCCTCAGATTCAGACTCCAACAAAGGCATGACACTATTATTGTAAAAACAAAGCACTTTTTGTTTTAAAATTTTGTAGACTTCTTGTGAGAGTTGAACTAAGGTACATTTCAAATGAACAAGCAAGCATTCACTGCCATAATAGTTAAGTAAATCACTGCAGTTGACGAGTTAGTGACATAGTTGTTAAGTGAATCTGGCTTCCACATGGATTTTGCTTGTCAAAAGGTGATTTGCATCACCTTGGGACACAGCAATGGTCGTAAGTATGAACCAGTTGCCAAGCACCTGAATTTTGATCCTATGAGTGTGGGGATGTTATCAAGGTTGTGAGTGTGAAAAATGGCCATAAGTCACTTTTTTTCAACACCGTTGTAACTTTGAATAGTCACTAAATGAACTGTTGTAAGTTGAGGACTGCCTGTATATGTATGTTCCATTTCTTTCTTCGAGAAGCAAATGGGTGCGATAACCAGGGAAAAATATAGCTGCCAAAATGCCTTCATGAAGCGCCCTCATTCCAAGGCTGATAACCATGCAGAGGTAATCCTCAACTTACAATGGCAATCGGAACTGGAATTTTCATCGGTGTAAGACAGAAGTGTGAAACGCGATTTCACTGCGGGCCGCATCAGGGTTGTGTTTGACCTCAGGGAGTGTGTGTGGGGGGGGGGGGGGCATGGCCAGGATGGCCATGGCCAGCTCGACATCACTCATGTTGGGGGTGCCTGTTGGGGGGTCTGAGCACTCTGCCAGTGAAAACAGGGCCGCAAGCTCCGTTTTCGGGTGTGATGGCCTCCTACAACCACCTGAGGCCCTCCTGAGCTCTATTTTCGTTGGCAGAGGCACCGTGAGCTGGTCCTTCACTATTTCCAGGGTGGCCCTGCAGGCCAGATTTAACACCCATGGGGCCCCCCAGGCCTTGAATTTGACACCCCTGGTTTAAGCCATTCATTTTATCAAGTGCAACCACACTGTTTAACGATGGTAATCTCTGCAATCCTGGCTGCCATCATGAACTGAATCCCATAGCTGTTCAGTTAGACCACTTCCTTCCTTCGAGCTTCCCACATCCAGTTGGGGAGACAGCAGGCAGTCGCAAGTCCTAGGCCTGCAAACAATTAAGAGGCTGCTTCCAGGGTGGTGGAGGGAGTGAAGAGGTGCACATGGGTACGGGGCAAGAGTTGTGGAGGGTGTGCAAGAGGCACAGCATGGGCTGGGGTGGGCGTCTGAAGGGAGGGCACATGGCCAGCATTGTGAAAGTGCAGAGGGCCTGGAGAAAGGTGCATGGGTAAGAGAGACTTCCCCCAGCAAATAGTGACCTTGCCTGAGGGCTTCCCCACTGACTTTCTGGGGAAGCTGGCAGGGAAGGTTGGGAATGGCGATCAGGTGATCACGGAGTGCTGTAAGGGCAAATGGACCAGGTGTTGTAAGCGCCTCATGATCCCACGATCATGGGGTTGCTGGGAGATCAGGAACTCCAAGAACCGGCTGTGATCCCCATTCGTTCAGCGCCACAACTTGGAATGGTCACAATCATCGTAGCTCTCAAGGACTACTACATTGGTAAGTCTATTTATAAATAAAAATGTTTCTTATACCAATATTCCTGCTTTTTACCAACTTTAGGAAATTGTTAGGCACACTTGAAATTTTAAGAACAGCCTCACAAAAGGATTAAGGGCCTTCAAGCTCCCAATTTCCCTTTGTTCTTCTTTGGGAAAGGCAGCACTTGGTAGCATCTGTACATCCATTTGTCTATGGAGATTCTCAGTCATCCAGATCATGGCTGTCCCAAAGGTGCTTTTTCAAAAGGCAACTGGACTTTCTTTCATTTTTTCTTGAAGATGTCGCTTCTCATCCAAGAAGGGAACTGAAGAAGCTTCTTGGATGAGAAGTGAAATGTCTTCAAGGAAAAACAAAGTCAATTTGCGTTTTGAAAAAGCATCTTTGGGATCTACATTTGTTTCTTTTCTAAGAAACTTTATGGCAGTGACCCCCAACCTTTTGGGACCGGTTCCGTGGAGAGAGGTTTTTCCACAGACTGGAAGGGGTGTACTTTTGCAAATGGGGCTTCACTTGTTTTGTGTGGCCCGGTTTCTGGCATGCTGGGGCTCAGTGCCAATCCACGCATGGACCCTACGGAACAACCAAGGACCAAAAAGCCTTCCTCAGAGTAAAGATTATGCATTTTACTTTGCAGCATGACAACTATTTCCTTTTTAATTAAAAGAATTTGGAAGGTGAGGGTCATGAAAAGTGTTTGCAGGCACAAGGACAATCCCTCCCTCCACACTAAATCAAATCTAGACAGCAAATCTAGCCAGTTTTGGAACTCTCTATTCTCTCTATTCTCACAATACAAATAAATGCATCCATTTATAGGATTTTTATAAATATTAATATACATCAATACAGAGCAAAAAATGAAAAACTACCAATACCCAATTTGGAAAAACTTTGATCATTATTATTTGTTACATAATAACTATATCATACTGAACAGGAGGTGGAAAAAACAGTCTCTAAGCTCATTAGAACGTGATAATCTTTTCTTAAAGCTTGTTTTCCAAAACTTTATGAAAACCAGGGAAAGAAGACACACGTTTACTGTACAGAATTCTCACTTTCTCAGCCACACTGTAGATGTCCTCTTTCAAACTGCAGTCCACCACATAAGGATATGCTTCGACTCCCAACTTTCTGCAGTCTTCAGCTGTTTCCTCGATGCCAGACTACAAACAGTAGAAAGGATAAATATCATTTGCTCCTTTGCGTTCTGCCAACAAAATATTACTGAACCAAAGGAGGAGGAAAAGGTTATTACAATGTCAGCAAGATCATAGTTCAATAAGTTAAAGTTCATGTATTACCAAATCAAGAGAAATATTCTGAAGAGTCACGGATTGGCTTCTCTGAAAGGATAGCTTTCCTTCTACACGGACTACACTATCGGTGTCAAACTCATCATGTCATGGTGATGTCACATCATGTATCGGGACATTTTTTGCCTTCGCGGAGCTGGGTTGGGCACGGCCTACGTGTGATACATTTGGCCCGCAGGCCCCCAGTTTGACACCCCTGGACTAGACTGTTAATTGAATCAATGAGAGAGCCACCTCCACTTTATCCTGTCCAGTGAGTAGTTGGGACTAGTTGGCCATGAGTCTAGAACCTTTAGAGTCCCACCACTGGCTGCACCCATTTCGCCTCCAGCCACCCGCCTAAGCCCATTCCCAGCCAGGTTTCCTCCTCCGCTAGCTCTCCCAAGGCAATTTTCCCTGGCCAATGCTCCACCCCATCACCAGCATGAGCTATGAGCAGGCAGCATTTGTCTGCCCCCCCCCCTCCTGCAGGTCTTGCTCTCTTCTGTAACCTGTCACCAATCACATCCCCTTCCCAGCCCCCTCGGTCATTCTTCTCAGCACCACCATTGCCGCCTGCCACCCGTTTGGCTATCAGTTTCTTCTCCCGTGGAGTGAAACACCCCGGACAAATGGTGTCTTGGTGAGTGGACTGGGTTGAAGGGTGAGAGGTGAAGGGCCAGAGGCCCATTGGCCAGGGAGAATCACTGGGGGAGGGCCAGCGGAGGAGGAAAGTTGGCTGTGAATGGGCTGAGGAAGGGTGGTTGGAGGCAAACTGGGTGAGGCCAAAGGTGGAAGCCTAAAGGTCCCATTCCATTGGCCACTACGCGTGTTCTGTTTTCAGCAGGGGATTCACTGTGTCTTGGAAATTGAGGCTGTAAGATAGGATGATTTAGGGCAACGGTGCCTGTTGAGGTAATTCCCCATTAGGAGAATGAGCGCACACAAGGAGACATAGTGAGAGTGGTGAAGAATAACACACAACCAGCACACAGATACACTGTATAGTAAAATGTAGGTTTTTACTTCCATTAAACGGTTAAGCAAAGTCCAACAAGCAGTCCAAGTCATTCATGGTTAAAGCAGTCAGTTTTCAGTCCAGGGATAATCCAAATAACATCCAGTATCAAAGTCCAGTATCAAAAACAGTTCAGTAACAGACTTACATCAAATCCAAGAAGAACTATGATCAGCAGCAATCAATAGGGAAATGCAGGAATGGCAACACTCTCAACAACAGGAGAACAGAACAACCCAGGTTTCTGGCTCCATCTTATGGCCGTTTGAGGAACCACACCCAATTACAATTTTAGCATTCCCTTAAAGAGACAGTATTAAAATGTCTATCCTGGTTTATATATTTTCCAACCCAACTGTTAGGTGACTTATATTCCTAACATTCTCCACTTTGGGTAGGTCAATATATACAACCTTACATTCTAAGTCCATAATCCTCACAGCAAGCCTTATGCTTTATTGAGCCTTGGGCTTTTGTAAAATGACCTGTGATGTTATTTTCTGACATACAGTATTCCAGCTTAATCATCTTACTTTGCACACATTGTCTCACATTTAAATATCTTAAAGCTGTGTGTTTTGATCTTGTCTTTACAGCAAGATTTGAAGCCATTTGTATTGCTGATTGGTTGTCTTCATAAACAACAATATAATCTGTTACATCAATTCCCATATCAATCAATAGTTGCTTATAACGAACTAAATCTGTACATAATAAAGACAAACATGAGAATTCAGCCTCAATTGTTGACAAACTTAAGTATTTCTGTCGAATAGACCTCCATCCAATCAACACCTTTCCCAATAATACAATAATCTACCTGACGTAGATTTACGAGTATTTAGCAAAACTTTCATCGGCATATGCAGTTAGACTTAGTTCATCCTTAGGCTCCAAATATAATGCAAAATGCATTGTTTGTTTCAGATATTTTAACACACGCTTAGCAGCTTGCCAGTGCCTTTCAGCTGGCTCAGCATTAAACCTCGCTAATTAGTTAACACCGTATGCTAAATCCGGCCTTGACCAATTACAGAGATAAGATAAGCTACTACCAATCAAAGACTGATAAATGTCCAACCAAATACCAATCAAAGACTGATAAATTATCAAAAACAGGACTTTGTGAACATCACTGTGGCTAAACTCCTGGCTCATCAGTGTTTTAGACGGTTTACAAAGTTCCATTTTAAAAGTTTTTAGTAATTGGTTAATTTTATCTGCCTGTGAGATTTTGTATCCTCCCCTAGTTCTATCTATCTTTAAACCAAGATATTGTTTAATTTCTCCCAACTGTTTTATCTTAAATTTCTTTTCTAATAGTGAAATTATCTCAGTAGCTTCTTGTTCAGTTTTGGTGATTAATGCTATGTCATCAGTAAATAATAGCAACAATGAAATTATGCCATCATTTTCCCTTTTGAACAAACATGGATCAGCCATGCCAGCTACAAAATCTATCTTAGTTAATTCCTTAACTACACTGACCTTTTGGGCACCAGGGACTGGTTCTCTGGAGAGGTTTCTTCTGCAGATTGGAGGGGGCATGGTTTTGTGTGCTGCCTGCATCCGGCGGATGGGGTTTTGCTTGTTTGCACAGCCCCGTTGCTGGCATGCCACAGACCAGTGCTGGTCCACGGAATGGGAATTGGGGACCCCAGATTTAGCATCATGTAGTCTTAGTATGATCATCTATAAAATCCTATATTAATGTATGGAGCATTGAGACTCATCAAAAGTTTCCACAACAGATGTGCCTGGCCCGAATCGCCTCTACTGGAATGAACTGGCCATCCTTTGAGATCATCAGTAATAAAAGTACCATCAATAAAATCATTTGTTTCCTGTTTCAAATGTGTGATCCTAATCTTGGAATGCCTCAAACTAATTGATAATCTTCTTGAACAACACAAAGCATTCTAAGTGTTCTTTGTTAAGCATGTAGGAGGAAGCAGTGGATCCATAGACATACAATTAAGCTATTTAATTAGCACTTTTCCCTCACTGAATACTTCATTGTCTAAATAATTTCTTTTATCTGGCTTCTTACCGCCCACTAATCAGTAGCTCTAGAAGATAATGCTTGACTTAAGAGGTGGAGAGACACCTTTCAAAAATTAGGTTAGGACACAGAAAAATATAGTTGGAAGGGACCTCGGACCTCCAACTCCTGGTCGAACCCCACTATAACATTTCAGACAAAAGGTTGTCCAGTCTTCAGTGATAGAGCACCCACAACTCCCGAAGGCAAGTTATTCCATTGGTTGATTGCTCTCACCATTAGGAAATTTCTCCTCAGTTCTAGGTTGCTTCTCCCCCTGGTTAGTTTCCAACCATTGCTTCTTGTCTTGCCTATTGGTGCTTTGGAAAATAGTTTGACCGCCCTCATCTTTGTAGGAGCCCCTCAATTATTGGAACAGTGCTATCATGTCCCTCCTAGTCCTTCTTTTCATTAGACTAGACATACCCAATTTGTATAACCATTCTTTGTTTTAGCCTCCACCCCGCTAATCATTTTTGTTGCCCTTCTCTACACTCTTTCCAGAGTCTCAACATCCTTTTTGTATTGTGGTGACCAGAACTACTGGTAGATGCAGTATTCCAAGTGTGGTTTTACTAAGGCTTTGTAACTTGGTACTAGAATTTCACATGCTCTTGATTCTATCCCTTATCAATGCAAGCCTAGGATTGCATTGGCTTTTTTTTTTTTGGCTGCTGTCGCATACTGTTAGGTCATATTTAAGGGATTGTCCACTAGGCTAGGTTGTCTTATGTGAAGGCTCAAAGAGTCATGATCACATGTTAAATTCCAGTTAAGTTAGTTTATTTTCTGACCTATACATAAGAATCTACTTAACTAAAGATCAGCACTAAATTATCACTAAGTAAATAGTACATGATGACTCCAAGCTGATTCCTCTTTAGACTCAGGATCTAACTGTTCTTCTCCTACGTCTTATTTCTATTGGGTAAATAGGGGTGTCTACAGGAGAAAAAAAGAGTAAAAAAAATGATAAGATGGTATCCATGATCACCTATCTGAAACCCCATGCTTTCTGGAATAAAAATCTATCTAAGATACATTAATAATTTAGTTTATTCAGTATGGAGCTTAGTTATGCAGCATGAGGCTGTGTATTCTGCAATATTTACATTTTGGGTAAGCTCATTCAATAAATCCAAGGTCTGCAAGCTGAGATAACATGCACTGCATTGATCCAGTCACACAATTTCACAGCAGAGATGACAGTTGCTCTTTCAAAATTATCATTTAAATCGAGTTGATTTAAATCAAGCCTTTTTACTAGTTATTTAAATCATGTTTTAAATTGTGATTTAAACTGACTTGATTTAAATCAAATCCACCCTGAATAAAATATAAACCACCCCTCCTCCAATGCAGAAACCTACAGACATACATTAAGAACAAATGGCAGCAGTCTAGTCACTGCAGTGCTTCAAAAGCCCGTCGGAATGAAAGTACAGGTAGTCCTCGACTTACAACAGCTCGCTTAGTGACTTACATTCATATGTCAGCTTGACAACTGACTCCTATTTATGACGGTTGCAGTGTCCTGGGCTCATGTGATCCCCTTTTGCGACCTTCTGACAAACAGAGTCAAGGGAGAAACCAGATTCACCAAACAACCATGTGACTAATTTAACACCTGCCATGATTCACTTAACAAACGTGGCAAGAAAAGTCCTCACATGGGGCAAATCTCACTGAACAAATTTCTCACTTAGCAATGTAAATATTGGACTCAATTGTGGTCACAAGTTGAAGACTACCTGTGTTTTCACAGCCTAGTGAAATATTTGAAAGGAGGAGCTTGGGTGCACTTTACATTTGAACTTAAATTCTTGATTTGCTTTAAAAAAAGAGCGTCACCTAACAGGTATTCGGGTTAGAAATATATAAACCAGGATAAACATTTTAAAACTGTAACTTTAAGAAAATGCAAAACTGTAATTAGGTGTGGTTTCTCAAACAGCCATAAGATGGAGCCAGAAATCTGGTTTGTCTTAGTCTTGAGTCTCAGAAGAGTGTGTGAGTGTATCTCTGTTTCCTTCTGTTGGAAAGTATTGCCGCTGCTCCATTTCTTCTAATTGACTGATATTACTTGATTTAATGTAAGTCTGATACTGAACTGTTTTTGACACTGCAATTTGATATTTGGATTATCCCTGGATGAAAACTGACTGATTTTACCTGTGAATGACTTTGGACTGCCTATTTTGAACTTTGCTTAAACCTTTATTGAAAGTAAAACCCTACATTTACTGTACAGTGTATCTGTGTGCTGTATGTGTATTATTCCAACACTACTCTCTATACGTCTCCCTGTATGCGCTCATTCTCCTAACGAGGAATTACCTCAACACGTGCCAATAAATGCAACAACACGACACACTGATTCATGTAAAGCAGGGGGGCTAAAGCCGTGGCCCGCGGTCCAGATATGTCACATATTGGCCACACCCAACCCTGGTTTAATGAAGGGGTAAAAAGTTGCGATACATCATGTGATGACGTGACGTCCCTGATGTAAAGAATTAAAATCAGGAATATAAGAACACCGCAGAAATGTTTTGCTGACAAAGGTTTCATTAGTACTGGATGAGCTGGTTCAAAATCTTTATTGCATGCAATAAAGAATAAGAGAGTTGGAAGAGACCTTTGGAGCTCAGGCAGAAGATCCTATACAATTTTAGACAAGTGGCTTTCCGGTCTTTTCTTAAAGGCCTCCAGTGATGGAACATTAACCTGTCTTTTGGGGCCCTTTTTGTACAATCTCTACATTGTTTTTACAATCCCTCCCTCCAGGCTTTTTATAAAACAGAAAGCAACCTGGCACAGGTCTAAATATATTTTTCCTAGTGCTGATTAATGTGAGGATGGTCACATGGTTTATATTTTTTACTGAACTGTGCTGAATACTAGGTAAACATGTTTTATGTTGTTTATTTAAAGTTTTAAATAAAATGTTACTTCTGCCAATTACACACCTGATTTCTACAAGCTGCTTTCCTATTTTCCAAACCTAACCCAAAGCATACTGTATTTTCATTGGAACTTGTCCCACATATATCTTTAGATCTTATTTACAGGAATGCCTTTGCTTATTTTTCTTTCTCCCCCCCCCCCCCCCCCCCCCATCTTGTTAATTCACTAATTTTAAAGTAGAATAATTGCCGTACCTTGTTTATGTCCCAGAGAACCAATCGGCTTCTTTGTTTAGCAAATTCAAAGGCTATGAGTTTTCCAATGCCGCTTGCAGCTCCAGTGATGAGGACAATTTCACCAGCCACAGATTTTCTCTTCACAGGAATAAAACATTTCACCAAAGCTTCAATATAGCAATAGGTTGCAAAGACTGCAAACCAGAGAAAATCTAATATGGGATGCATTCTTGCTTTCTTCTACAAATGTGATTTGACAGACTGTTGGGAGGACTTTGGAATAATGTACAGTAGGTTATTCCACTTGCTAACTAGAGTTGTTGCAAAACTCCACCCTATGCAAATCCACTTACATAATGAAGGAGAGTAAATACACCAGCTCTTTAAAGTTTATAATAATCAGCATGTTGGCAGAAAGGCGTCATCCCTTCAAACAATTCTTTTTTTTCCAGCAGTTCTGACTCAGAGAAATCTATGATAGGATATATGGTAATTTTATTCAATTTTTCCATTCCTTCTTCCATTTAAAAAATACCGAATTGCTGCACAGTAGCTTTTGAATTAGAAAGAGTAGCTGTCAGCTGGTAAGTAAAACTGCACAATAGTATATTTAGGATTTTTTAAAAAGGGCATAACAGAAGGAAGAAGGTGTTCCATATATTTGCCACCTTCAGTTATTTCTAAAAATAATAAAGGCGGGATATAAACAAAAGAATAAAAATCAATAAACAAACAGAACTTATTACGGATAAAAGGAAAGGTTAATGACAACTAGTGATAACGGTAATATAGTCACACAGAATTTTCCCCCCTTTTCCTCTCCTTAATGGCGCTTTCACCTCTTACTATGAAACTTCTTATGGGACTTTTTCCTGATACTCAGTGGAAATGTTCCCTACCCATCATTAAGTTGGCAAAAAAACCAGGGATAAAACCTGCTACTTCCATTATTGATCCAGATCCTGCCTTTATTGTCTCTGTTCTTGGACCCTGTCAGACTTCCTTCCATATAATGGGTTCAAAACTCAACATGCTTTATGTTCCTTCAGGCTGTCTTTGGATGGAAACTGCATGAGGATAAAGTTAACTTACTATTGGAATAATATAAAGGTGTCTCAGAAATGAAATTAAGAGAACATCCTGAAGACATGGTCCAAACAAAGATGCCATCAGACCATAGCTGTAACACAGTTTGATGCAAGTGGGAAATGAATAGAGGCTTTAAATGTCCTTAGAGGCCATCAGAATCTGGATGGAACAAAAAAAAATCTTTCCAAAATCGCTGTGCTTTAGCAAATATCCATAATTTGGAACAGTAATTGGTTCAGAAGGAGGCACTTTGTCTGCTAGCAGATCAGCCCTGCCCCTGCAGAATAATCCTGATTTCTGCATCAAATTCAAAGCTACAAAGCTTTAATTCTCTCCCTTCTGGTATGACGCCAATATTATTTCACCCTGCCCTAATTAATTTTTGTACGCCTTCCTCTCCCAGCAATTTGATTTGGTTTTGATATGCACTTTAATTAGTAACTCATGATTCCAGGTAAGCCTCCTACAATAATCCTTGGGGAAATCCGAAGGCCCAATAACAGCCACAGGTCAACCATTGATTCAGTAGCAATCTAAGGATTAGACATTCAAACTTAGCCAAGAGTTTCCAGACAGCTGTCCAAAGGGCTACACTGGTTTGATGGCCAGGCACCCCTACTGGCAAAGCAGAAGTTGGTACATTTTGATCTGACAGCCGAATTGCTCCAAATTATAATCTCGGTATCGCTGGGGAATCCTGGGAGTTGAAGTCCACACCTCTTAACAAGTTTGAAAACACAACACCAAGTCTGAAAAACAGTTGTAATAGGTTTTTTTTCTTTTCAGAACAGAATTTAGAATAGAATAGAGTTGGAAGGGACCTTGGAGGTCTTCTAGTCCATAAATATATATCAGGCTTTTGTATAGTGTTCGTCTGTGAGTTAGACTTTTACAGTGGTTTCAGATTTAAATTTGGGGCAGCCTATTGCTGTGCCAGAATGGTTTTTTCTTCATCCTGATTGGTTCAGAGTCTTGGTCTGTGTTTATTGGTCTTGGAGTTTGCTGTGTTCTGCTTCTAATATCTTCTGTCTGTTTTTTTGGCTCTTTTTGTATCTTGATTGGCTGGCAACATTGTGTTACTTTATTGGAGGCCTTTAGTGCAGCTTGGCTTCGGGTAAATGGACGGCTATCATTAGTTAGGAAGCTGGGTTTCATCTGGGTGCCTGGTTGGGGTGTGTTTGAGCTGGAGGTATCAGGGGGGATCTGTTTGTGCCCAGGTGTTTGCCTGGCTTGTGGTGTGGAGATTTTTTTGTTTGTGAGTGCAGGCTTCCAAATGATTGACAGCCTGGTGGAATCATACACACATATACATATACATATACATATACATATACATACATACATACATACATACATACATACATACATACATACATACATACATACATACATATATATATATATATATATATATATATATATATATATATATATAT